TTTCATCAACAAATTATTATTATTCAATATAAAAAAAAGAAAAAAAATTTCAACAAGAATAAACAAAAAAAACAAAAAAAAAATGTGAAATAAGATTTTAATAATATATAATCAATATTATATCAAGAAAAAAAGAAGAAGAAGAGGTTGGAAGAGGTAGGAAGAGGCAAAACAAGTGCTGCGCCAAGAAGAGCACGCGCATAAGTTTTTTAATCCGAAGACTTCTGAAAAACAAACAGCTGCAAGATGAAAAGTGCTGCGCCGCGCAGCAATAAGAGGTCTGAACAGGTTTTTTTCCAAAAACAAACAGCACCTTAATTTATTTAAAAAAAAATTAATGTACCTGTCGGGATATAAATTCGAGTTCGTCTACATTTAAATGTATTTTTTTTTATTTTCGTGCTTATTTTTATACGTGTAAGCCGGATCACATATGATACATTTTTAATTATTTGAACTTCAATTCGTTAACTTAAAAAAATATTACTTACTTATGCATGTCATATATAATATGATTTTATTATCTTTGTTTGGCATGGTTTTGGCCTCAGACTATTGTGGTTTGTTGGATTACGTTTTTTTAAATTCATGTTCCACATATAGCAACTTACTTTCTACTATTTCTGAAATATGCCGCCGCAACGCGATACGTGTAAAATCCTAATTCCAAAATAAATATAGTTATTTTCTAATTTTTTTTTTTAAAAAAAAAACTTGTTTATAATTATTAATTTACTTTATTTCGGAATTTCCTATCAATCTATCAAGGTAACCTATAAAACCGACCGTGTAATTTTATTTAAAATTAAGTTAAAATGAGAAAGTAATTGGACGTATCGGTATCCAATTTTCCATTGAGAAACGCGCCACACTAGCAAAATCCTAAATCTTTGTCACCGCCTAAATTTACAAATCCAGAAAAACAATGCAATTTTGAATGCATAAAGTACACGTCGTTGAAACAACAAGGATCTTGATATGTCAATAATAGCTCTGGAGTTTTCTTAGCAAGAATCTTAGCTGGAAACAGTCCTCGAGTCCTCGGGGGTCAGAACGAACACTCCCCATCCCATCACTGTAAAATCTTTAACGCATTAGCACTACACACAGTAAAACACAGAGCGCCATGGAAAACCCTGTTCTTTGATATTCAGCCTTCAATCATGGACCCTCTTGCTAACCCACCCATGAGAATGCACAACTTTTTCTTCCTTCTCGTGTTAACATCCACCTGCGCCACTGCCACCACCGTCGTCGCCTCCCTTAACCGCCGGACGCTACACGAACCTTTCTTCCCGCAGGACCCCCCAATACTCCCTCCGGTTCAACCTCCTTCTGCTCTGCCACCATCTTCACCACCATCGTTAAACGTGCCTTTTTTATCTACCCCAACCCCAACCACAACCCCAACTAATGACCAACCATTCTTCCCGTCTTTCCCATCACCGCCACCGCCACCTCCTCAGCCGTCTGCCTCCTCTTCCGCCTCTTTCCCGGCCAACATTTCCTCCCTTAATCTCCCCACCTCCCCGAAACCAAAACGCGTTTCATCCAAACTCATTCCCATTGCCATTACTCTCGCCATTGCTGCCGTTGTTGTTCTTTTCATTGTTGCTTTTTTGAGGATTAAAAAGCGAAGGTATCATGACGATTCTCAGTCTTTAAGTGATGAAAAACCTCAAAGATCTTATACTAACAGTGTGTTTAGTGCTGCTGCGAATAATGTTGGTGGGGTAAGTGGTGGTGGAAATAGTAGTTATAATCGAATCCCGAAGCTCAATCGCCCGTCGCAAACGAGCTCGGAGTTCCTTTATCTAGGCACGCTTGTTAATTCTCATGGTGGGGTCGATGCTACTGGTACCAGTGGTCGTCATAATCGTGGTGAAGAGGAGTCGAGTTTGCAAAAGGTGGGTTCGCCGGAGCTCCGCCCGTTACCGCCGTTAAGTGGTAGCGGTGGCGGACGTAGTCAAACTATTATGCAAAATGGATGTTATGAAACCTCTGAGGTGGAATCGAAAGACGAAGAGTTTGACGAATTTTACTCTCCGAGAGCATCGGACGGTGGTGGATCCGGTGCTAGACGAGCTTTTACCGTCGCCGCGGCGACCGGTAACTATCAGTCGCGTAGGAGTATTGGGTCGGTTTCTTCTTCGTCCTACTCCTCGTCAAGTTCAGGGTCTCCGGCGAGGTCCATTTCGTTAAGTATTTCTCCGCCGGTTAGCCTGAGCCCGAGAAATTCAAGACTGAAATCGCCAGACCTTGTTGCAATTCAAACTGCTCCTCCGCCGTCTCGGCCACCTCCACCACCCCCACCGCCGCCGCATCCTTTAATAATCCCGTCTCCGGATGTTGGTTTGAGTAAGAACAGCTTAGAGTCGTCACCCAGACTATCAAACTCATCAAACGATCAAAGCTCTCCTCTGGCGAGAATCCCGCCACCGCCGCAGCCACCGACGAAGCACAGAGAAACCCTAATTCCCACAACTCCACCACCAGCAACTCGGCTGAATCCACCGGTTTTGATCAAACCTGCAAGACATGTGCCTATATCTAGCCATCAACCAGCGATTTCTCCTACAGAAATGTTGCCGATAAATCAAGAAAATCTTGAAACAAACGAGAAAGCCCCAAAACCAAAATTAAAACCTCTTCATTGGGATAAAGTGAGAGCAAGCTCTGATCATGAAATGGTTTGGGATCACCTCAAATCCAGCTCCTTTAAGTAAGAAACCTGTCGATATTCTCCTCCTTATATGTTTTTGTCTGTTCTTCTCATGTTATGATTTGGGGCCATTGATAACAGATTAAATGAAGAGATGATAGAGACATTATTCATTGTAAAACCACCAAATGCAAATTCAAACGAAAAATCAACAATCAAACGCCAGATTCTTTCCTCAACAATCAGCCATGAAAACCTAGTTCTTGATCCAAAGAAGTCTCAGAACATCGCAATCTCATTGAGGGCACTTGGCGTGACAACTGAGGAAGTTTGTGATGCACTTTTAGAAGGTGAGCTTCTTCATTTCCATTTACACCACACCATAATTTATAAACGACACTGTATCAATCACATTATGCACCGATTATACAGGCAATGCAGATACACTGGGCACCGAGCTCCTTGAAAGTTTAATGAAGATGGCTCCAACAAAAGAGGAAGAACGTAAACTTCAAGAACATCAAGATGATTCACCTCTCAAACTTGGTCCAGCTGAGAAATTTCTCAAGGCTGTTCTTGATGTGCCTTTTGCATTTAGAAGAGTCGGTGCAATGCTCTTTGTTTCCAATTTTGATTCAGAAGTCGAATACCTCGAACAATCGTTTCAAACTCTAGAGGTAAATTTTATTTAACATCAATTGTAAATTACAATATTCATGATTTAGTGTTTTAATAGCTCCCAAATGTTTCAATCTAAATCAGGCTGCTTGTGAAGAACTTAAAAACAGCAGGATGTTCCTAAAACTGCTAGAAGCTGTGCTCAAAACCGGAAACCGTATGAATATTGGCACAAACCGTGGTGATGCTCAGGCATTCAAACTCGATACCCTCTTAAAACTCATTGATGTTAAGGGTGCTGATGGAAAAACCACCCTCTTGCACTTTGTTGTTCAAGAGATAGTTCGAACTGAAGGTGCCCGATTTTCAAACACAACTGCTAACTATGATGACAATCAATGCCACAAACTTGGTCTTCAAATTGTTTCTAGTTTGAGTTCAGGTCTTTCAAATGTCAAGAAAGCTGCTGGAATGGATTCCGAGGTTCTGAATGGGGATGTGGTGAGACTAACAAACGGGATTGCAAATATTATGGATGTTGTTAGATTGATTGAAGCAGGAGGTTCAAACAACAAGACATTTTCCAATGCAATGAAGAAATTCTTGAAGATAGCACAAGAGGAGGTCATCAAGATTCATGCCCAGGAAGCGGTGTCACTTTCTGTAGTCAAAGAAATCACTGAATATTTCCATGGAAACTCAGTGAAATTTGAAGCTCAGCCTTTTAGAATCTTTATGGTGGTGAGGGATTTCTTGACTGTTCTTGATAGGGTCTGCAAGGAAGTTGGTTCCATAAACATGGAATCCACTCAGAAACTGCCAGTAATGGTAAACCGAGGTCCAGTTTTTGATGGATTTCATGGAAAGCGACAGTACAGTTCTTCCGATGATGAAAGCTCTTCTTCTCTGTAGGTGTATTAGGTTATCTGCTACTTCTGTCTTGTTCTTTGTTGTTGTATTTACGTAGACAAATTTAGATGATTTTGGGTAGGTTTTGACGCTGGAAACTCACTGTAAAAAAGCTTTGGATCTAATTAAGTCGGTAAGTTAATGAAGAAATTAATCACTGTAATTGTTCTTGAAGAGCATATTCTAATGGGTGAGAGACATAAACTCATAATTACCGGGGGTAGGTGGTGTTCCAGAATTGCCTTGAAGTAGAAATTGTTGCAATTTAATCCCCGCCGTAATCTTTGCTCAAGGTAAATTATAACTTTAACCTCACAAATATAAATACAAAAATTTGAAAGAGAGGGACGAAATATTACAATCAAAACACCGGCAATTTTTAATCTGGTTCACCTCAACATGATGTTATGACCAACCGTCAGATAATCCTGCGCCTCGATGGATTCACTCTTCAACTAGATCCGCTAAAATGATATTTTTTTAAGGTCAAACTTAGTACAAAGATTGATATGTTTACTAATTGGATTTTACTAAACCAACTATGAGATATTGTTGTTCTTTGTCATGCATCTAAGTGTAATGCCCCGTTTCTGGTACGCATTTAATCTATTAAAGTATTCATTTTGTAAGAGCTCAGGGGCGGACGCAAGATTTCACAGTAGGGTTGTACGGGAAAGTAGAAAAAATAAAAATTTTAAAAAATTTCGAAAATTTTTCCAATGCGGCCGGAAAAGTTAGGGGTTGTCGGTGCCACCCTGGACCACCCCTAAATCCGCCCCTGTAAGAGCTACTTGACGAGTTGGTAGCCTTAAATCGTCGAGTAGATGCCAATTTGGACGCGGGGTTTAAGAGGTCTACTCAACGAGTCGAAGCCTTGACTCGACGAGTAGGTCCATCAGGAGGAGACCCTAATCTTTAGGGTTTGCACCCTATTTAAACATCATATCTGGTCTCCACCCCAACCTCTATCACCTCCAAACTCTAATCTCGAAACCCTAATCCACCTTGAGTGATTTTGAGCTATTTCTTGCCATTTTGAGTGTTATTTGTGCCTTTAGCTTGTGGAAGAAGAAGGGGATAGAAGGCTCAAAGGGGAAGAAGTAGATCCAGGAACTACACTCCATTTACTACATTTTCTGGTAATCAAGTCCCTAACTTGATCCTTCTTCTCTTAGATCTATTTGTTTTCATTTTATGAAGAATTTGGTTCAAGAACCTTAGCCCTTGGGATTGTGTCACACCCCCAAACCGGAACGGCGGAAACGTTCGGGGGTGGTTGACGTCATGCGTAATATCACAACAATTGTATCATAGCAAGCATAGTAAACACAACTAGACATTGAATACATATATGAAAAAGGT